CGGCATCCCAATCGCCGACATCGCTGCAGTTCAAAAAGATTATTAAGACCCCTCCCGTGCGCTCCAAAATTAATCACCCAGGCCTTTCAAGCGGCCAAGTCCCAGACTGGTCAATGGGCATGGAGACTGACCAGCCAGGCAGTTCTCGGACTGATAGGCAGGGTGCTGGTTCGGATTTGACTTGCGACCAGATTACATCAGTAACAAACAAGTATCGAGCACGACGAATATACGTTCGGAAGGATTAACCTAGAACATACCCTGGAGTAAAACATAATGATACGAACCCTACCCATTGGATCCATGGGCCTGCGAGTTAACGGAGAATTTCACGAGGTTCCTGCACCTTTGAAATCCGTTTCAACTCGATTCAGTATCCAGGTGGATTAAGCGACCAGACAAGGATGGGCAACTGGGGCGGTTCGGCAACCAACCAGGTGGGTTAGGCATCCCTTTTGATTACTGCTTTTTTGTTGATATCATTGACTAGGCCGACCCATCTGAGGTACTGTTTGAACTTGTTGTTGCCCTTCAGCTTTTTAACTTGCGCGGCGATCTTGAAGAATAGGCCGATTAAGGTCCAGTTATGCCATTCGAGTATGTGGAGGACGTTAGCTTCATTGCAGACGGCCATGTGATGGAGTGCTCCAAAGGAATAATCTTTGGCGACGACACATTGCGGTTGCCCCACGTGTTTTAAAATAGCAGTCAAACATGTGGCGCTCTCGGTATTGCCAGATAGCTTCGTATCCTTCATATTCAATGTGCGGTAACGCACATTACTAAGATCAATGTCTTCCGCTTGCATAACCACATCCAGCGCATCTTCCTCCCCCTGAGTATTGATACAAACCGCCGTGGATCGAGGCTCAAAGTAAGGAGATTCAAATCCAAAATAATCACACACACGTGTGCTACTAGGAATCATTTTCATCAACATCATCTCATAGTCACTAGCCATCTCAGAAGGAAAGCCCAACTGCACCATATCCACATCTAAACTCAACAGCTCCAACATACTCCCAAAACCCCCATGTGCAGACGCCACTATCTCACGACCCGCTGCCGTTCTCTCTTCTCCGGGGGCAACCCCTTCTCCGGGGGCAATCCCTTCTCCGGGGGCAATCCCCTCTCCGGGGGCAATCCCCTCTCCGGGGGCAATCCCCTCTCCGGGGGCAACCCCTTCTCCGGGGGCAATCCCCTCTCCGGAGGCAACCCCTTCTCCGGGGGCAACCCCTTCTCCTGCGGTGGCAGACACCTTCAGCTCATCAATTTGCTCGCGTAAAACCTTGTCTCCTCCGCACCCCTCAAGAAAACCATCCAAGTAGTATCCTACAACACAACACGGAATATACGTAGTATATATACAGAGAGGTACACAGTATACACATGGTACGGTTATGGTACGTAGAGGGGGTTCGATGCACGGTATACACCATTCGAATTGCGGGGCACAACCTCGTCGGAAAACTCTAAAATGGAGTATGCGCTTACCTGCGAATGTATTGTTCGATTCTTTCGCGCATTCGACGCTAGCCTTCCTCCCTGAATTGTTGTCAAATGTCATTATCGGGCAATATTGTCCCGTTTCTCCGTGTCCAGATCGGTAGTAAAGTCTACAAAGCACACACGTGTGTGGCGCAGACGACACTTAATGGCGTGGCTAGTGAAAGAATGCGCGTCGTGTTTTACACGCGCGTCTTGTGTTACACGCGCGTCTTGTGTTACACGCGCGTCGTGTAAATCATGCGGGGGTTCTGAACCCCCCTAAACGGTCTAAACCCTGGTAGAGTCGCCACTACGAAATTGCAGGTCGATGCCGGAGGAAGGGTTCAATGATCGGTTTACTTACTGAGCGTTTTGCACCATGCGCCTGCTTCGATTGTTGCCTACCTTGGTGTTGTAGGGGACGTGTTCCACGGGAAGCAAAACATTTGGCCGCCGGTCCTAAAAAGAACAGCCAACTGCTCACTTGTCCCAAAGGCTGTCCCAAAGGTTGTGCCATTGGCCTGATAGGTGTGTGTCCCAATCAGAGCCACTCACCCAATTCTTACTTTTATCAAGTCGATCACCTCCCAGTACTCATCAGGACTTATTGCAATGCGACCCATTACCGTATCGAAGCCCAACTTGTCCGTGGCTCCGTGACGGGATGGCTCGCCTGCTCTATCAGCCGAATCGGGCACAATCCATAGCTGAACGTTTTCCGGTATGCTTGGCAAGGTTTTTTTGGTCCTAGGATTCTGCAACGTGGCTGGATCAGTACGATAGAGCGTCACGCTGAAAAATACGAATTAGAATGTCGGTTCATGGCGCCCTTCTCGGCAGGGCATTTTAATAACGGGTTGTACTTACAGATCTCCGATGCAAATGCTGATATCCGTTATCAAATCCTGCCATTGTTCGAAGGCTTCTGGGTGAAGATATTTGGGCAAGCCCCTACATACAATAGTCATGGGGTAGTGGCGGCTACAGCGGCGCGATGGCGGCTACAGCGGCGTAGTGGCGGCTACAGCGGCGTAGGGGCGGCTACAGCGGCGTAGTGGCGGCTACAGCGGCGCAGTGGCGGCTACAGCGGCGCAGTGGCGGAATCGCGTTATGGACCGCATTTCCGAAGGTTTAACTGGATGGACGCTTTATGGTTGAGGTGTGCGTTTACATTGGCGCGAATCTGATTAGTCGGGGGCCATCTTGCTGGTCGTGGCCACCCATAATTTAATATTGGGCGGCCGGTAATATGGGACAGAAGTGGCGTCAGCGAACACGTGTGTTAGACCTAATCCGGCAAGGTTGATAGAGGTAGGTAGCAGGCTGGGGGTGCCCCGCAGCTTTTCTATGGGGTGTACAGTGGCTCTTTTGGTAGCGGCATGGAGAACTATCGCTTTATCGAGCGCCGGGGGGAGGGCACATTTGCGGAGGTCTGGGAGGCTGAAAGCAAGGTCACGGGTCAGCGCGCCGCAATAAAGATCATGAAGAAGCCCTATGACTCGTCGCAGCAGGTTTACGACGATATCGAGTACCGCGTCTTGAGTCGTTTTGTCAGCCGTCCGCAGGCTTCCTGCACAGGGTATTCCACGTCTTGTCCAGGCACCTGCGGCCTAGGCACCACCTGTGGCCTAGGCGCCTGTGGTCTAGGCACTTGTGGCCTAGGCAGTAGCTGTGGCCTGTCCACCTCCGGTTCTTGCGCCGGTCTATCCACTTCCGGCTCCGGCAATGCCTGCAGCCTAGCCAGCTCCGGCCTATGCGCCTCTGGGTACTCCAACAAGTTCCAGTCGCCGCAACAGCCGGAAGAGAAGTCGTCGTCGTCAAGCTTTGAGTGCACACTGACCACCACGACGGACAGTTCGGGTAGCGGCTCGCCACCACAATGGCGGCCGCTGAACGGCGAGTGTCACACACCAGGCGGCGTACTTAAGGCCTCCTTTCCTAATGCTTCCAGCCTGTCCGAGTCCGGCAATAATGCGCAGTGTGCGGCGGGGGATCAGAATGGGTCAACAGGTCCGAACGGGACGACGACGGTCGGTGGCGTACGATCGCGAATGCCGACGAGTTGTACACACCATCCTGGAGCGAGCAAGCTGCAGTTCCATCCGCAGATCACGGGCATGTATGACGCCTTTTACGAGGCGTCGAATGGGCGGCTTATCTTCGTGCTGGAACTATTGGGTAAGTCGTTGCTGGAGGAAGTAATGCAGCGGCGCCGTCACCTGCTCCACACGTTAGCGCGGCGATCCGTAGCCTCCTCCTCCTCCTCCACCTTGACCACCATGACGGGACGGAAGCCGCCAACACTCTTCAGCACGGACGAACTGCGTGTCATTCTGTACCAAATTATCAAGGGCATCCGTGACATGCATCGACATGGACTCTTCCATCGTGACATAAAGCCCGAGAATATTCTGCTGCGTGAGGGAAGAGGTCTGGAACTAAAGCTTGCCGATTTCGGCAGTTGCCAATTTATCGAGGGAGCAACACAAAAGAAAACAAGGGACCAGCGGTGCAACCAGTTCGGACTCACCAACCACCAGTTCGGACTCGCCAACCACCCGCCTGAACCCAGCCACCCGTTTGGACCCAACCATGCATTTGGGACCAACAATGAATTTGGAGCCGGAAATCAGATAGGGAAACAGATGGGAAATCGTGCGGGGAACCAGAGGGGGCCGATTGTCGAGGGGCAGATTGTCGAGGAGCGCGGGGTGGTGGAGGAGGTCCGTGGTGTTGATGTGCAGGTTCGTGCAGAGAGGGCAGGTTGTTTTACGGAGTATATCTCAACGCGGTGGTACAGATCCCCCGAGTGTCTGCTGACGAACGGTCGGTACAATTGCCCGATGGATTTGTGGGCTGTGGGATGTGTGGCGGCGGAGTTGCTATCTGGACAGCCATTATTTCCTGGTGAAGATGAGCCCGACCAGTTGCGTCTGATCCATAGTTTGTTTGACTATCCATGTCGGCGTGAAGTGACTGAGAAGATCGGACCGCTAGGTGACCATGTGCACTTTAATCTCGACCGACGGAGCAAAAAAAAGTACTTATTTCCACCCTTCCTCAACAGCGCCACCAACAACAACAGCTGGTTCTCCTCACGCCGCCAAAAATCGCTCTCCCATCCCGCACGCGAACGCTGGAACAAAGTCATCGCCCCCCGCATCTCCCACACCCTCAACGATGACCTCAGCGACCTCCTCTACCGCCTCCTCGCTTACTTCCCTCAAGAACGAATCACGGCCGAGGAAGCTCTGCAACATAGATTCTTCGCCTTCCACCGCGGCTCCCTTCGCCACCTCGACAAATAGCCCCAACGATCATCCACCGGTTCATAAACTAGTTACATTCACTAACTCGCTCACCCACTGAACTGTTCACCCACTGGACTGCTCCGACACGTTTGCTCCGGCCTACTGCCGGCGGCCTACTGTGCTCCGGCTTTGGTCTACTTTTGCTTAACTACCGTGTATGTTTGACTTTTGTGCATGTTCGACTTGTATGCATGTTCGACTTGTGGATGTCTGTGGACCAGTCCGTCCTGCCGGTCCGCCTGCGTGTGCGTGGAAAACGTAGTACTCGCCGTATGACCGTGGCCAAGTTTGTTCTACTAGCTTTAGTCGCTCGCGGGGGACGATACCAGAAGATACTCGAAAACAATGCGGCGGGTACCATATCAGCGGTAGCTGCGGGCGCCAACGAACGTAAGTCCCGACCTCTGGCGCGGATTCCCCACCTGGAACGGGCTACCGTCCCGATGCTTCAGCTCTTGGTCCAACCATCTCTCCGATCCCCACACCATTACTTATTTGGTTCTCTTTCGCCAGAACTTTTCGCCGGCTACAAACCTGCTATCCGGCCCTTGTTCTACCCCGCTGTGGGCGGCGGGGGCGCTGCTGTGGAAGAGGGTCCCAACGTTAAGATTGTGATTGCCGATGACCGGAACGTTGCTGCGCCGACAACTGCGCCCCAGCAGCAGCCTCTGGGTCCCATCATCCTGCCCATTCCGTTTCCTTGGTTGATCAACAACACGGCCACGGGCACCGGCACCACCACGGTTCCCGAACTCATCACCACCAGCACCACAACCAGCAGGCCTCTCGTCAGCGGCAGCTTGCCGCCCACCACTGGCACGGGTGGTCGGACCCCGAACAACCTGGGTTCAACGGCATCCGGGTCCAATTCGACAGCCCCGATGATGGTGTTCCAGCCCCAGTTCGTCTTCACTAACCAGTACCCCAATATCCGAGGCGGTCGCTTCGATGTGAACGCAGGCGTAGACATGCAGAACCACCCAGCGTCCACGACCAACGCCAATCTTAACCCCTGGACTCAGCAGAACCCCTGGACCCCCCAACCGTCGGTGAACCAGCACCAGCCCTTGTGGACCCAACAACCTCTGTGGAGTCAACAGCCAGTCTGGAATCCGGCACACGTACCCAGCCAGGGCGTTTCCTGGATCCCGCAAGCGTTAGGACCATGGATGGGACCCCAGCAGGTGCACGGCCCTTGGTCACCCTCGGCTAACGTGAACCCCTCCGCCGCCGTGGCCCCTTCGTTCTCAATGCCCTCGACCATCGCCGTCGTGCCGCCTAGTGCCAATCAACCTTCCGCACAGACCACCAACTGGCCCGGCAATGTCGACCTAACCACTACCGGCACCAACATGGTCTACGTGATGGGTCCCACCTTCGACCTTCCACAAGGCACTGAAACTGCTACTCTCCAAACCTACCGCGGGAGATCCCGTTTCGCACACTAGTTCCTCCACCAGTGTCCGACCTCGCCTGCCTGCTGACTTTCTCTTTGTGGACTTCCCCTGTGGACTTCCTTTGCGGACTTCCCTTGCGGACCTGTCTCCCTCTGCTACTCCGATCGCCACCCGCGTTGATGCCAATACGGGGGGCCACACCCAACAAGCACCCGTGTAGTCCCCACCTCAAGCGACACTTAATTAGCTAATTAAACGGCGGCGCTGCTCCAGCGGCGACCGACCGACCGCCCTTTTTAAACACTCTTTTGAAAAATTCCTATTAGCACATGTTGGTGACTCAGGGGTCGACTGATGAGAATTCCGCAAACAAGCGGCAAGAAGAAATTACAGACACCCCTGCAGCGGTCTCTAACAAAGTTAGCGGTGCATTAGCTGACATTCTTGACAACTGTATTAATGGAACAGCTGAACAAATCAAACAAGTGAGGCTGAGCTGTATAGACCCACCCTAACATTGGTGGTTGATCGTTGATGCACTTGGCACGTATAAGTCACGCACGTATAAGGCACGTATGCCGCACTGTATTACGTTCACGGGAGTTATGTATCTGCTATTTCTCGTAACCTGGGAGGTGATGTGCGTGACGTTATGGTATGACGTTTACGTTATGGTATGCATGAGGAGTGGTGTAATTGATGAGGTAATTGTTTGTCAGGAGCGTATTTTTATTGTTAGTAAGAAGTTACTTGTTCTGTTGGCGCAGTATGTGCCTTGGGATGGCACGGTTGTGGAAGGTCCTATGGATGCGGTGTATAGTCGGATTCGTGAGGAGTTGGAATTGCTGCATCGTGAATTGGGCATAGATTTGTGGTCGAAGCCTCTTAACTGGTTTGCTAATCATGAGTACATGCTGAACTCATGGTTGTTCATGTACTTGAAGATCCATCACATTCTGAGTCAGTGTATTCGGTGCAAGCCGTCGCGTCCTACCTTGATGCGTACGAATGGGTATGAGACTATTTCTTTGGCCTCTGCAATTTATCATGTTGATCTGGATCAGCCTGGGTTGGACTACGGGAATTCCTCTGAGTCGACTAGTTCGAGCACGAAGGCATCAAATGAGGGGACTAAAAAGGCAATATCCGATGAAGAACTTCTGGACAAATCTGTTGAGGAAGAGGTGGCCAAGCTTTGGCCCGGCACGGAAATTTACTTGTACATTGCACCTGACTTGTGGTCGCAGGATGAACCCGTCACGCAGCCGTTGGTGCGCGAAATGAACACTGAAAACGCCATGGGGAGCAACAATGAAGAAAACCGGATTGGCGAAAACGGCGGTCGAAAAAGTGTGATATTAATACCTCTGGATGAGGGCCATGTGTCCATGGCCGTCACCTCCTACGGAAGGTTCGATGCATATTTGTTAGCCTCGATTGCAGAATGTTTATTGCCTGTTATTGAGAGGAATCCTGATACGTTGATGCTGCCAAATTTGCTGTTGCAGGACAAACAAATGGTGTTGAGTCGTGCATCACACGGCCGCCGGGTTTACGAGGACGCCACAAGCACGTTTGTGGTGACGCCAGCAAAGTTTGACTGGTACAATACGTTGCTAACGTCGGGAAGTTTGAAAGCTGTCCAGGACACGTTTGTAGATTTCGCGTCAGAGATTTGGCATACTCAGTTTAATAGATTCGATGAGGACAATGTGGCTCGGTTGGAGACGTTGATGATAGCATTATTGGGTCACAAGCATGACATGGTTCGTTCCCAGTCATCGGTATGTATGAATAATATTGTTGACAGGCACGATTGGCAGCAAGAAATCCCGTTTTTACCTACGATTAAGACGACGGAGGATCAGTTTACAATCGAAGTGAATCTGGATAGGCCGGATCATAAGGCACCGGAGGACGTGTTCGTGATCGTAAGTGCGCCTTCACGGACTAGAACCGCCGAAGTGTATACGTACCATTCTTTGGAGTGGGTAGCGGAGGGCGAGGGCCGACACTGGCGGGGCGTTTGTCAGTTCGGTCATTTCCCGCGCGCTGGTTTCTACGACTGGCGCCTGGTCAGGGCGGATAGGACATCTGGGTCGTGGCGTGCTGTGCATGCCACCATCGAATCACTCCGTCGGACCTGCACAGGAAGCTTCAGCTTGGCGCAATTGTCGGACACCAGTTCCTCCGATGTTGAGTTCAATAGCCGCAACCTGTGGCCCGAATTAGGACGACTCAAGGAGGTACAGGAGGCCACAGGACATTCGGCCTTCCGTACTCTTCCATTACAAGGCCGCTTCATTGTGCAGCCTGGTGCCGTGCGTTCGTTGTGTCTTCACGAAATTAATGTAGATTCGTTTGGCGCCAAATACGACGATACTCATGATCGGTTTGCGGAACGTGGTACCTTCACGAAAGTCAAAGAGAAACTAACACACTTCAAAACCAATGGCGTAACGGGTTTATGTCTTGCCGGATGTCAGGCACGGAACAATGGGAAGGTCAGCTACTCCCGCTCAGCCGGTGACTCGCAGTATGAGAACCCCGACGCCAGCCCATATGCTGTCACATGTCGCGCCAGTGTGTGCGAGGTTGTGGGTGGACGAGGCCGCCTTGATGATCTGGTGCGAGAAGCGAACCGTCAGGATGTCAAGATCATCGTCGATTTTCAGAGCCGCGTAGCTGCAGCCGGGGCACATCGTAAGTACAATTTTCGCGGGCTCCGGTGCGTAGATTCTAACGGCCGATGCCGATCACTCCTCAAGGGTCACGGCAAATATTTCGCTGCCGAAGAGAGTTGCGAACTCGACTACCGTGAGCGCGAAAATTGGGAACTATACATCGAAGACATCTGCGAGTGGGTCAGCACTCACCGAGTTGATGGACTCAAACTCGACTGCGCCCATCTGCTACCCCGCATCTACCCCGTCAACGAGAACGAACTCAACCGATTGGACCCTGACAACCTCAACCACTACTCCGCCTTCGAAAGGCTTAGAGGCAAAGTCGTCCTGCCTGTACACAAAGACGCCGGCTTCTGGAGCTCCACCGCCGCGGCCGGTCACTGGCCTAACCCATTCATCACTAAGGTCGCACGCGAAATCTGGAGACGTAATCCTGACTGCATACTCATCGCGGACTGCGGGCTACTCCCCGATGGCGAAGAAAAGAAACTCGGCGTCCTGGCCAGGTAAACAATCCCACTACTACCAGTCTGTACCCCCTTTCCTATGTTTATGTTCTCTCGCAATGTGCCTGATCGCACACCCGAACACATCCCCGATCATCAGTCATCGATCATGAGTCATCGATCACTCCGTGTTTTCCAGATCTGGAATGGTCCCGCTGATGCAGTCCTTGCCGAATATTCTCTTGAAAATATTCGGGAAGGAAATCAATGATAAGTAAGTTCAGCACTCCCTGTTGTGTTCGTTATACTCCCTGCTTGTTCACTGGGGCACAGCCTTGATCGGCGGGGATTTACCCGGCCAATATTTTTGCGTCGGATGGGTAAAGTAATTGGAGGGCCATTCCACCTACCGGAGCTTGGCTGCCGCTTCTACTGGCGCCCTGCTCCAACTGACAATGAGGACATCGACCGGTTCGAGTTGCTGCGTAAGGAGTTGGACTCTGGCGTTGCGGACGAAGAAGATGTTCAGAGTTGGCGTACTGATAACGTCCCGGAAGAGAAGCCTTTCTCTTCCAAAACGTCGGACAAGATCCCCCAGTCGAACACATCCACGGAAGCGAAGAAGCATTCATCTACAACTACCCGTGACCCATACCTGATTGCTCATGGACCGAACCTGTCGCCGCGAACAACAGCAATTGTTCACCCCAGTGCGGACCCCTACCTCTTGTACTGGATGAGCGACCGAGTGGATCGACTAACACACCGACTACAACATTCAATGAACTACAACACTGCTCTCTCCGAGGAATACGAGCAACGCGTTGCATCCCCCATCCTACAAGCAACCCACAGTGGAACTTCGGTCGCCGGTCACGCCAGAAATACCTGGAACAACAGGAGCAAAAGAAAGCGATGTGACAACGTCTTCGATCTGGAGAATGCC